CCTATGTGGATGCAGGCATTGTGAAGTAATTAATTCTCAAAATTTACAGCAGAAAAATGTTCACAATGACTTAATCTCAGTACCTGCTGTTGATTCCCCTCCCAGCAATGGCTTTGCCGGCCTTCTAATCTCAGTTACCACAGATCAACGCACAGTAAGGGAGGAAAGCAAAGTATTTATCTGACTAGAATAAGTTTACTGCTTCTCTTGAGAAGTTTGAGGATGAGTTGTTCCACTGTCTCTGCAGCTACAGTGGTTAGTGAAGGCTTGCTTAAAACCTAACAAGACCTAACACCAGATATCTATTTCATGTTAACTGCATGCATGCTAAGTGCTGTGTAACAGTAACATTTGCATGCATACTTTACCTCTCATAGAGATTACAGTGCTGCTTCTGACAATGCCTTCATCTGCTTCATCATCCACAAGGATGAAGCCATCTTTCCTTAGGCATCATCCAGGATCAGCATCTACTTCCAGGACTAAGATGCTGGCTCAGAGATGTCCGTGTTATCACATATTGCACAGATCAGCCCCCTGCTGTTGCCTCTCACTTTGGCACGTGCTACAAATATACAATGTTATAATATATTACAAATATAATGTCAGAGCAATAACTGCTGGAACAGATACTGAAGGCTTTTGCCTGCAGCAGGCGGGTGACATAATTTTCCCATAATGCATCTCTCAGCCAAGGAACCGTTGCTTGTCTGGAGTTTAAGAACTGCTTTGAAAGTGACTCTGTCACTAAAATCGGTCTTCAAAATAAAGTATTACTTGCACAGAAGACAATCTCCTGGTCCGCCATCTTGTTGTGGTTTCTACCGCTTGCTCTTGTGTCACTAAAGAATATGCTAATAACGTAGGGGCTTGTAGCGGCCGGTGGATCAAAGCACTGAGCCCAGAAGGGGGACCAGAAATCTGACAGAGAAGAGAAGAGTGACAGAGAGATGATGCTCAAAGTGTGGAAAGAAAGCGCTGGACCCGTGTAGCAATTCTCTTGGTGTTTCTCATCCAACAGACAGTAATTAAAGTGACACTAAATTCAGGAGTTAAATCTTAAAAATACATTCAAGTACCCTAACTATTAACAGAAATGTATGTTATTTGTGTATCACTCTGCTGTAGATCCTCAAATCATCTCTGAATTGGTGCTGACACTGTCCTTCCTTCTGGAGGGTGGCTACTTTTGTTCCCCATGGTCCCTGTGTGTGTTGTAAAGTAGTCACCATTCCAAGCTCACTGCCGTGATAGACTACAATCTCAATACAAATTAGTAAACTAAATGTGAGATTGTAGTCCATCCCGGGGGCGAGTTCGGAGCGGTGACTAGTTTACAACACACGCAGGGACCATGGGGAACAAAAGTAGCCCCCCTCCAGAAGCAAGGACAGTGTTAGCATGAATTCAGAGATGATTTAAGGATCTAGTGTCACTTTAATGTGAATATGGGTGATCTGGCTAAATGGTAGGCAACTTCCGAAATTCAAAGGATCTCCTGAGTATTCTTGGCTTGACAGTGAACACTAGACATTGACACATTGATGTAGAACTTCACAGTATTCTTGGCTTGACAGTGAACACGTAGACATTGACACACCACACCAATTAAAATAATGCACATACAACTGTATTCCATTAGGGTCAGGGGACATTCAAGTAGCTAATGCATTGACATCCGCGCCCTACATCAGGGTTTAATGAGCGAAATCGTGTATGTGGTCTACAATCCCTGCAGCTTGAAATATGTATTGTGATGAGAGTACTTGAGGCTGGATTGGCAGTTTGCAGTTCCTCCTTTCACTGTCCAGTTACAGACTAAGGGAGGGACAGGACCCGTAAGTGTTATTTAACTACAGCAGATAAAAATTAGGTCTCCTGGCTTGCCAGATAGGGCAAGTTGTCCAGCAGAACTGTACATAGCTAAATACACAGATAAGATGGATATGTTTTATCTGCCAAGGGATAAGCTGTTTGCCTAGAGTTCAGCTTTAAATGTTGGCGAACATATAATCCCTCTTTCCTGTCCTAGAACATTGGGAGATATAATATTTCCTGCAGAGAAGTATGAATCATTCAAAACCTGTATAATGTTATTGTAATGATCCCATTCTCGCTATGTGCTTTTCTCCAACCTGTCTGATATCAGTTTTCTGGTGCCCACAGTTTGAGACGTCCTCTGTATAAAAGTGGATTTATAGAAGTGGATTTTGAAACCTATTTCATGCTCACGGAGTATTTAGGCCAAGAGGTTCTTTGTGCACGAATAAGATTTACAGCTTGGATACTGTGGCGAAACAATAAACCGTCTGGAATGCAGGATGGTATTCTCGCACACAGAGTACACAGCAGAGAGGTTAAAAAACACACAGCATCCCCCAGGCAGCACTCTGTGATAATAAAGCATCATTAATTCCTGATTTAAAGGTGTCCTGGTAGATCCGAGAGATAATTGGGTCACTTTAAATGCCATAAGTGGACTCCAAAAGACCAAAGCACATCGTATCCATCACGATGGAACCTTTTGGGTCTGAAATAACCAGCATTATGTACTGTCATGCAAGGAATGCCGCAATACATACGGTCCAATTAAACAATATGCCACTTAAAGTATATATAAAGCATTAGCATGGAGCTGGTTCCTTCTTTACAGCCTCCAATTTTTCAGGAAGGCTTTATACAGGATTTTGGAGTGTCTGTGGGAATTTGTTTCTATTCAGCCTAAAGTGCATTTGTGAGGTCAGAAACTAGTGATGAGAACTGGCATTGCAATTCTGCAGTTGCAATCTCAAAGGAGTTCTAGAGGTCTTGAGTCCCTCCTCGCCAAACCCATCATAGCATGTCTTTTATGGAGCTAGTTTTGTGGGGTATAGTCCTCTTGGAACAGAAAATGGCCTTTCCCAATCTGTTGCCACAAGGTTGAAAGCTCACAATTTTCTCAAATGCCTTTGTTTGCTGTAGTACATTAGCCTTCCCTGGAAACACCCAACTCAATAATTTGGAAGGCTGTCCAAATAATTTTGGTCATATATAGTGCACATTGTATTATGACTCTGAGTCTTCCATCAACTACTTCTACTGAGGTGCTCTCAGCTACAACATTGCTGTGCAGCATATATTGTAGGTGCTGCTGTGGCTCACAACTGCAAAAACAAGTATTTATAGGATTCCAGGTGCCCAGAAACATGGCAATTGCATTGATCACATGGTTTCTGCTGGCCTGGAGGGTCTGGAGAGAGTGAAGTCAAGTGTCAATGTATACCCGTTGATCGCCATGGCCCCATGATCCTCATGGAAGTGACCAATGCTTCAACACAAAAAAAACAATTAGTGATCAGCGCCAATAAATAAATACAAATAAAAGCTACTAGGCACTCAAAATAAATACAAATATCTAAAAGGTTGTAAGACAGTCATGTGCCAAGCTAAATAAGTACAATTCAGTGAAATATGTGATGAACAATGAAATATATGAGTATATGCTTTAAAAATATATACATAAGAGAATATCAAAACATGAAAGTATGTGAACAAAGTGAAAAACACAAAGTTCAATGTGCAGCAATTAAAATCATGCAAATAAATGCAGGGGATAATCCACCACTTGATAGATCCAAACTTCCAAGTAAGCAGTTGCTACAGAATCCTGACAGACCTTCACCTCCACCCAGTGAAAGCAAAATTGGAATAGTGCTCACTTGGGGAGATAGACCCACAGAACTAGGTCTAAAAGCGTGTTTCCCTTCTAAACAGGGGAGGGAAGCCCATATGACTGAAGACCAGGTGACCTCCTCAGCTTGCAAATAACATCATTTCAAAGGGAAATAAAATATAAAGAGGACATGGTGTGTATCGTTCAAACAAATGCAATTTAATAAATAAAAGCAGGTACTCACAATGTCACAGGTGACAAAAGGCATAAAACAAATATCCAATGGACACCACAGTACAAATCTATGGGTGTAAAGGGACTCCTATCCGTCCGGCTCAGCTGAGAAGAGTGACGTCAAATGCTGAGCCCTACGTACGTTACGTCTTTGCGCGACTTCGTCATAGATTTGTACTGTGGTGTGCTAGCAACCACTGCAGCTGTATTAATGTCAGATGGTTCACTCTGTTTAATTTAGGTTTTATTTGATCTCCTGCAAGCAGAACCCAAAAAGCATTTAACATTGGAAGTGTATTTCCCAAAAACCCATACTGTATAACTTTCCCTCTGTCTGCTTCCTGTAACACCAATTATATTCAAACCTCCATTCCTTAGTGGCTATGAGAAACTTTCTACTTCTGCCCATTTTTGTACACAAGGCTTTCTGTACAGGAGATAAATGTGTTTGGGCATTCTTTTCCTGCAGCACCAGCAGGAGTTCCCAAATTACTGATAAGTGGTAGTACAGAAATTGGTGTGCTACAGCAGTGCCTGAGTAGATTGCCCTTCCATTTCAGTTTTGACTGATATGTACCTGTAACTTTTTATTGTATTTAAGACTCCTCTCCAGGGAAATTTAAAAAACTCACCTTGCAGTGGGGCTACCCCCACACTAAAAGGGTTAACTGCTTGTTTATGTCTAGGCGTGCTTTGTAAAGGTCTCTTACTGGCCTGATCCCTACTCCTTCAGCAGTCGGCACTCATCTCCCCTCCACACCTGCTTATGAACTGTCTGTCGGCATCCCCAGATATAATGCAATGCTATGGACCCTGCATTGTACATGATGACATAAGCGTGCCTCCAGCCACTGGAGCCTGGGGTAAAAGAGGCTGTGGGTGCTGCTCTTGGAACCTGTGGAAGCGGGGTTCTGGTAAGAAAAAGTCCTTTACATAGGTCCCCTAAACATAAGCAAGCAGTCAACACTTACAGGGCAGCGGCAAGGGGAATGTTTTTTTTTTCTCTGGAGAAAGGCATGCCAAGTCATAAAGGCAAAAAAAGTGTATTTTATTGTTTAAGTCTGCTTTCATTTTTTTAAATTATATTCCCATTTATTTTTCCATTTACATGTAGATTTGCACGCCGGATCTAGTGGTATTTTTGGCCTGCGCCAACCACAAGCTAAAGGAGCGATTACTAAAGCGAGCAGAGCAGCAGGGGCGTCCAGACGATAACCTTAAGGCAATCCAGAGAAGATTAATGAACTTCAAGCAGAATGCTGTACCGCTGGTCAACTACTTCCAGGAGAAAGGTCTTATCATCACGGTGAGCAATCAAGATCTTCCAAAAAAAATTTTCTTTTGTGTTTATTTTCTAATTAACATGCAGTGATGGCATAGATGGTGGATATTAACTACTTAAAACTTTAGCTTTTTGCAGATCCTCGGATCTGACACTTCTATAAAAAATTCTGATTAGCTTTTGATCTCTAGATCCCCTTTTTTTCGGGATTGCTGTTGTTATTTTTTCAAATGAGAGCTAGATGAAAGGCTAGCCTGGAGCACAAGGAAGGAAAATAATTGAGCGCAGGGACAGCATCACAGTGGAATAAGGGGAGCTAAGCACAAAGTGTTAACGTTTAGTTCAGAGAGAGGCTTATAGGAGGGGTCACTTACCGGATTGGACAAAAGTCAGGTAGGAAGGGACTTTATAAAGGGTGGTCCATGTGGTCCATGTGGAGGAATTTTTCCAGTGGAAGTTGCAGACAGCCGAGGGATTCCCACCCACCCCATTGTTTTTGTCCTGGTACTGGATCCTTTGCGTCTCTCATCACTGCAGTGGTTTTGGCAGTTTGGGCTCCCTGAAGGTGGTCTGGTTGGCTGGTTTATTGGAATAACAGTTGGGGACCCGTCCTAGGTGTGGCGTCCTTTAAGTTAGTTATCTGGGGTCGCAGACTCAAGTTATGGGTGGCTTTTTGTTGCATTATGTGCCTTCAAAGACCAGGAAATCCATTGAGTGTTTATATAGTTATTTATATATTTCATTTTGATATTTAATTATATAAGTGGCTGCTGTGACCTTTGAACTCCATACAAGTCTTATGTGCATTCTTGAGGGAAAGTGGGAAAATGGTTGGTGTTTTCAAGCGAGTTGGAAGGGAGTTTTGGTTTAGGCTGGCTACTTCCCAAATACCATTGTCAAGAGTATGTTTGGCAGAAATGGACATTTATCCAATAGTTCTATATTAGATAATGTGCTGTCACGGACATGCCTAGTGCCGGCTGTTTAATAATACGTTGTATTGCTAAATTCCATTATTTGTCATAATTGTGCCCAATATATGCTTGTATACAGCAAGTAGGAAGGGTTTTTAGACTTCACGCGGAAGCATTTCATAAGAGGCTATTCTCATACTGTATTCCGTGAAAAAATGAACTCTATCAAAAAAAAAGGAAGTCTCTAGCAATATTGTTAAATGGGTTTTAGTAAGCTTCCGCCATTATAAAGTAAAATACAAGCATTGCCAGGCAAAGAACAAGGTACCATTCACCCTGCGGAAATGGAATGGAACCATGTACTATTTTAAAGACATTGAGAGATCCAAAGTGGCCATCCATTTAGTTTGTAACCAATCGAACAGACCCTACATATCTTTTCTTAATTCCAAAAGGGACAATCAGACTGTAACGTACATTATATGGTCAACTTTAGGCTCTCCATTAATCCCATCGAGATTCTAATGAATTAATTTAATGTCGCATGACAGTTGGTAATGGTGGTGAGGTACAATCAGGGGTGTCCCTAGTATAATGACCACCTGAGGCCCAGGAATGGTTGGGGTGTGTGTAGCTGGTGATTTTTAAAAAAGACTCTACCATACTTTGCACCGGTTCAATGGAGGGGTTTTTGTTTCCTTTCAGTCCACATCACCATTACGTGGTTATACTTTCTCCTAGCTTCCCAAGCCCTACTCCATTGAAGGCATTGTTTACATTCACTGAACCGATGACGGCGAACAAGCCAGAAATAGCTGCATGCAGATTGGAATTAATATTAGGTTGTGTCTGTGCTGCAAAGCAGGGGTTCTGGTTGTATAGATGTACTAGGAACATAAGAAATGATAAGCATGGACCCATCTACTATGATAAAATTAGCATTAAACCTGTTATAACATCAGCATTGTAATAAGAATACATATTAGAGTTGTTTTTTATATCAAAGCAATGTTATCAAAGCTTACTTGGAAAAAATCCCTTTTATGTAGTGAGTGCTGCTTTCCGTCTGCCCATCACTTCCAACAACTTCCTGGATTCCCAGTGTGCTTTGTGTCTCCTTCCATGATGCTTGATGTGGTGCAATCTTGATTTATCAAGGCTACATATCCCATCATGCATTGCTTCCAGCAACCAATGATAATGTTACATTGTTCACTTGAGTAAAATGGTGTCAGTGCATTGTGGAAGTACATCCTATGAGCATCTTCAATAAGTAAGTTTACAAACTTCTAGATGGATATGGTTATTAGGAGTGGGGTAGAATCTATGCAAATACAATATAGATGCATATTTATTTTTAGTTTTTGACCATATATACCCTTTAAGAGATGAGATAAAGGTTTTAGTGCAGAATAACACTCTTGGTATTTAACAAGAACCTTCCAATAGATATCTGTACATGGGGACAATTGTGGAAGAAAGCATGACAGAGGGATTTGGTTCCATATGAGGGACAGTCCCTCTAAATGAATGGCAGTATCTCCAAATGAGGGGCAGTCCCTCCAAATGAGGGGGGGTTGGTAGGTATGAGGACCTGCAGTGATTGAACATGAAGGTTGGTCTTCAACCAGTTAACATTTTTACCTCTACTCCAAGACAATTAGGAAGGCCATGCAGCATGAGCTGGCCCAAGCCCCATCTGAGCTCTCGGAGGGCCTGAGCTGAGATATACAATTCCTGGGGTGATCAGTCAATAGCCTCTGAGCTCTGGAGATGGAAGAAGATTCAGTCTTGTGTAAAAGTTTTTAATTGCTTTTTTTTCCGTCCGTGATGAATTTGCAGCTGAGTTTCTCTTGTCTGATGTGATGATCTAGCAGAGCTTTGTGACTCATTTGCACGTTGTTCTTCCTCGCCATCTGCTATGTGGAGTCATTTTAAAAATAAAGTTACCTTCTTAGTTTTTTTTATTGTCAGCTGTGAAAAAGTCGGCCTGTTTCTCTGACTTTTCTCCCTCCGTTTATTATGTAGCATTTAGTTTCATGTAGTTCGCTTTTAATTTTTTCAATTTTTAAAGAAAACCACAAAAAGATATTTGAAAGAATCTTGATATTTGGGCTTGAGGAACCGGCCAAAATATGCACAGTGTGTGCCGCTGTTGCCACCCGTTCGGCCAGCATCCCTTGATCAGCTAATCGAAGGAGCCAGTCGGAAAATCTTTGTATGAACGCTGCTGGCTCAGTTCGGGTATTCTGACAGTGGCCGGCAGCCGCTGTCAGAATACTAAAGAAACGTGGGGATTCCTGGATCGACACACTCATAGTGTTGATGGAGGAATGTTCACTATTATTTTCGTTCAGCCCATGGGTTTCTTGGCTTCTTAAGGGTTAACATTTCTAGTTGATTCTCCTTCTTTGTAATGTTAGGAGGGGATTGTTCCCATTCACACAGCATAAAGAAGAACAAATGAACACACAACAAATATATAGAGGGGCTTTTGACTGCAAAAGTGGAAATACAGTTTAAGTAATTCTTATATTAACTAATTGGAGCTAAATGCTTTTGCAGGGCACAGATGGCATATCACCTTCAGCAAACATCAATGCTCCATTTACTATGAATGAGATTAAACGTCAGGATTTCAAACCTGGCTGCTAAACAAGTACTGTCAGCATAAAAAAACTTCTAGGATCCTCTGATGGTGAATATATAACGTCTACCCAGTCATCTAGGTCCAATGTCAATAAATATTTAATGCTCAGGAGACACGAAGTGGAAAGTTTTTGCGTTTTAAAAGGACCTTTTCTACATGAATACATTTCTGATATGCCACAATATACAGTAACCGTATCATTTATGCATAAAAACTCCACCTGTTTTTATGTAAAAATCAGTTCTTGAGTTCCTCAGCCTAGACAAAGTGACTTTGTGTCTGCCGTAGGCATAAGGAAACATTTCCTCAAAGTATACATTGTAACTTTGCAGCAACTGTCAAGGTGAGAGTATACAGCAGGGGCTGATCTGTGTCAGATATTTGACTAGGATTTACATGACTGTGTCATCTCATAGCTGGCATTTCATCCAGAAAGTAGATGTTGACCCTGGGAAAGGTTTGAATAAAGCTGGTGGTCCTTCTGGAGAGAAGCGCATAGTAATGCATTGTCAGTAGGGTACTGTGATCTCTGCGAGAGGTTAAGTCCTGGAAGTGTTGCACTTACACATTACTTATGATACATGTACCTAAAATGAAGAAGAAAAAAAACTCATACAGAGTGTCTGTCTTTTTTTCACCTTGACAATTCTTGATTTCTTAAGATCACCCTGCTGTGTACAGTCCAAAACTTTCTGATAACCTGGTGTTCTGGAAAACTAGGGACACAACTGAGGATTCAAACCTTCAGCCATCAGTCATTCTACAATCAAATTATAGTCATATCATAAGACTTGGGTCCCCCTGGTGTTCTGGAAAACTAGAGCCCCCAACTAGGGATTCCCAACTTTTGGCCATCAGTCATTCTACAATCTGATTCTAGTCATGTACCAAAACTTGGCTCCCCATGGTGTTCTGGGAAACTATAGACATAACTAGGGATTCTCACATTTAGCCATCAGTTGTTCTACAATATTATTGTAGTCATATCCTAAGACTTGGGTCCTCCTGGTGTTCTGGGAAACTATAGACACAACTAGGGATTCCCACCTTCGGCCATCAGTCTTTCTACAATATAATTATAGTCATATCCTAAAACTTGGGTCCTCCTGGTGTTCTAGAAAACTAGGGACACAACTAGGGATTCCCACCTTCGGCCATCAGTCTTTCTACAATATAATTATAGTCATATCCTAAAACTTGGGTCCTCCTGGTGTTCTAGAAAACTAGGGACACAACTAGGGATTCCCACCTTCAGCCATCAGTCATTCTACAATCTAATTATAGTCATATCTTAAGACTTTGGTCCCCTCTAGTCAACCTAGCTAAGTAAGAAGTCAGCAGCCTTCATGCAGAACAGACTTCAACGTGACCTATACCTGTAAACTTTAAAGGGCAGCTGCTGTTTATTTGCCAAAATTAGTTAAAAAGTCTACAGCCTCCATGAAAACAAACTTCAGCAT